CTCATCTATTGAAAGATACAAACTCCCACTTCGCCCTCTGAAATAATTGATTTTCACGTATAGCATAACAATTTACCTAGCACTAATTGGTAAATTAGTATTAGACAATTTTGAAACAAATTTATTTTAAAATTTCACCCATCAATGCCCATGAACGTTAAATCAATTTGAAAATTTTAATTCTTATGAAATTTAAGACAATAATTAATTTGCCAGATTGCAAAAAAAAAAAAATGTAAGAAAAAAAAATTAAAAAAAAAAGAATAAAAGAAGAGTATAAGTGTATTCACAAGTAGAGGGATAGTGATATAATTTTGCTCACATAGGTTACTACTTTTTTGTAGGATCCACTGTTTTTTGAGGCGAGATATAACCCAATTTTATGCTACCCAAGAAATGAAGTTGCTAGTCCCAGTGGTGGATCTAGCCTCATTTTCTGGCTTATTGGGAATGAAATTTTTCGCTAAGGCTTGATATGTAGTAGCCTTATGGAGGATAAAGCCCCCATTAAGGATGCTCTAACTCTTCCCCAAGCCAAATGCTTTAACCTTGACCCCGCCAACATTCCAACCACCACCATACACGCCCTATCAAAATATAACAGCGGAAGAAATGACACCGTACCGAAATTAACACAATAAAACATGAGTGCTTATTGGGAAGCTTGAAAATCCATTCTACCCTTGACTTAAACCGTATATCGATGGTCTGCCTGCCCACAAATTAAAATAGAGAACTTTAACGAAAAGTTTCCAGTACTATTCACTTTAATGAAAAACCACATTTTTACACTAAAAAGTCAATCCGATACCATTAACCTTACCCTTTATTTTGTCTTTATCGTTAAAATTCAAAGTTTTCAAGCTATTTTCATTAGTTTTCCTATTAAAATAACGCTTTGGACTTTTCTGTCTTAACATTAAGGAAACCCTACAAGCTACGGCCAACGCAGCACTCAATTTTGATTTAATTTAATTAATATCTGCCCAAAACAAATGAAAAATTGCACAAATGGGCCTGAACTTTCCGAGTTTTGAGAAATTGCGATATAAATGAAATGTTTTTACAATAACCACCTAAATATCATGTTGTGCCACTATTTGTCACTTAAACTTCTCATAATATCTTAGAGCATCCCCAATGAGGCTAGAAAAGTGGTTGATATAGGCCAATTTAGAGCTCCTATGAATCTTTGGGACTCTAAAAAAGAATCTCTCCGTGTTAGCCCATTGTGAGGCTAAACACACCAGAGGCTAAACACACCATCTTCCCGTTAGTATAGATAATATTGTTTGTTAAAAAGAATCTCTCTCAATGAGGGGCTATATATTTTTTGGGCTCTATATGAGGTTATATATTGATTTATGTAGTAATTTGATAACGCAATAAATTTTATTTTTGTCTTAACATTTCTTAAGTTGATTTTTGGACGTGTTATCTTAAATCTTTTTATGAACTTTTCAACCTAAAAAATTCAAATTTTGACAAAGTTAGATTTCATCACTTATGTGTGTGTTATCTTAAATTTCATCACTTTTTATGAATTTTTTTAACCTAGAAAATTGAATACAAAGCACAACACTTTTTTCTTTATCAATAACACAAAGTACAACATTTTTGGATAAACATAAACACAAACAAACTACAACATTACGAAAGGCAACAAACTACATTAAAACAAATACATCATAATCAAATCTCTACAGGATACTCCTCTGATGCAAATGGAGGTGATAGTCACCCTCAAAGTTTAAATGGCATGCAGTTCTGTTTTTTTGAACCTCATTTTGTTGCTCTCTTATCCACTCTCTCCTAGCCGGAGTCTTAATCTTTGAAGTTGCTCTTATTCTCAAGAAAACCTATCCCATCTTAGGATACATGTCATTTTCACAACTTGAGTACTTGAAAGTTGAAGTTAATTAACTCAATACACGCCCACTTTATTGCAGCTAAAACAGGTGTTTACACGACTTTTTTTTTTCTCAAAGAAAAATACTCAACAATTTCACTTTAGTTTTTTTTTTTTTAATTTTTAATTTTTTTTTAACTTATTAAACCTATTTTGTAGTTGAGTGAAATGATGACAATGACCTTAAAAGCAAGAGGTTCTTGTATCCAACTAGTCGTATGCATGTATCACAAATTATTTTTGATCGGGTCACCACATTAGGTTTGGCAATATATACCACGACTAGTTAGCCTGACACTAAACGACACAAAAATAATAGGTTCTTTGTTAACCCGTTAACGAGGCGGGTCTTTATCAAGTCACTCATTAAGATAATGGGTATGACATGTAGACGACACGAACAAGACCAGTTTGCCAAGTCTAGACATTAGGCATGATAATTTCTTGCATGACCCATTAAACTGACACGAAACGACACGACCCATTAACGAGTCGAGTCCTTTTTGGATCGCCTATCAAGAACCTGTTAAGATATTAGATTTAACATAACACAATCCGTTAAGATAACGAGTATGACACAAACACAACTCGTTTGCCAAGTATACCCTACATGCATGAGGTGGGATAGGGGGTTTTTGTGTAACTTAAGGTCTGACCAACAAACGTTTTTGAACAATCGATATTATCTAACACTAAGAGGGATGGGGTGAGTTTAGTCTTCAATGGGCTAGCAATAATGTGTTTCAATTGCCTTTGGCGAGAATCGAACCTAAGACCTCTCACTTACAAGCAAAAAGAAGTACCACTAAACCGTAGTACTAAGGCCATCTCCAACCGAAGGCTGGCCAGAGGGCTCGTTTTAACCCTCTGGCCCTCCAATAAATTAATATTTTAATGAACAGTTCATGGCTATATTTCTTACCATCTCCAATCGAGGGCCAAAGGGCTATAGGGCTCATTTTAGCCCTATCACTAAAAACCATTTCCAACTGAGGGTCAAGGGGCCAAACATAATTTATTATTTAAATTTAAAAACTACAAGAACTTAAATTTAAAAACTACAACTAAAATTTTAAAAATACAACTTAAATTTAACAACTACAACTAAAATTTTAAAAAATACAACTTATATATTTCAAGTCAAATGTGAGAGGTTTCATTTAGAGTATTTAAAAAAAAAGGGAAGTGGGTGGGAGAGTCCCACATCGGGTGTGTGAGAGGAAGTAGGAAAAGAAAATGTCACATCCCGGCCCGGGGTTCACCACATCCCGGGCCCGCTCCAACACCGTAGCACGATATTATCCACTTAGGGCCCCGACCACGCCCTCACGGTTTTGTTTCTGGGAACTCACACGAGAACTTCCCAGTGGGTCACCCATCATGAGAATGCTCTTGCGTGTTACTCGCTTAACTTCAGAGTTCCGATGGAACCAGAAGCCAGTGAACCCCCAAAAAGCTTCGTGCTAGGTAGGGATGGGAATATACATTTAAGGATCACTCTCTTGGGCGATGTGGGATGTTACAATAAAAAAAAGTGGGAGTCCCACATCGGTTGTGGGAGAGGGAGTGTGAAAGAAGGGAGAGTCTCACATCAGATGTGGGAGGAACTTTTTTTAAAACATTTTGGCCCAAAACATTTAGTTAAAGATTTTTGTAAAAAAAAAAAAAAAAAAAAAAAAAAACTGCTTTCTGACTTCAGCAAGTAGCCATTGGAAATTTGAAATCCAGCCCGGCCAGAGGCTAGCTGGATTGGGCCAGCCGATTGGCCCTTTGGACCTTTTTTGTCCCCGTGGGGCTCACGAGCCATTTGGCCTAGCCCTCGGTTGGAGACGATTTTCGGGTTATTTTCGAACCATCTCCAACCGAAAGGTCCAGATGGCCAGATGGTCGAAAATAGTCCGAAAACCGTCTCCAACCGAGGGCTAGGCCAAAGGGTTCGTGGACCCCATGGAATCTGAAAGGGCCAAAGGTCTGGCCGCATGCAGCCAGCTAGCCAACCTAGGGTTGGCCAGAAATTCCAGCAATCCTGTTGGATATAACCGACATGAATATATTTAATATAAATTTATTCCTATCGGTTATATCCGACATGAATGCTTAAACAAAAATTTGAATCCAACAGCTAACTGACGTCAGTTACTGTTGGATTAAATTTTTGTTTTTTGGTCTTTTGGGCCAATTTTTTTTTTTTAATTCTTAAAAAATCTAATTTTTTTCCTATAAATACCTAAACCATTCATCACAAAATTTTCACCATTTCAATTCTCATATTTTCTTTCCTCTTTCAAAAATCTATCCTTCAATTTTTTTCAATAATTTTCAAATGGCCTTGTCTGCAATGAAAGGTAGGGCTTGGACCCGAAAAGAAGATGAAGCTCTTTGCAAGGCTTATAGATGGGTGTCAGAAGATAGTGTGAGGGGAATTGTCAAACAAATGATGATGTTTGGACTCGTGTGTCAACAAAATACTTAGAGTTCTATGAAGACACCACTCCATTGAATATTCGAAACCACGGGAGTTGTTCTTCAAGATGGAAGAAACATCTGCAGCCAAGTTTGAACAAATGGCATCAAGCATTGTTAGCAGCCACAAGTAGACATGAAAGCGGCTCTAATTACTACGACGAAGTAAGTGTTTTCACAATTTATTTTAAATATTTAATTATATTACATTTAATTTCATAAATTAATTTCCTTTAATTTTTGTAATTATATTTTCTAGGTACGCCAAGCGGAGGAATTGTATATGGAGAGTAGCTCGAAACCATTTCAATTTCACAGTTGTTGGGAAATTTATAAAGGGTGAGTGTTATTTAAAGATCCACCTCAACATAAAGCTCCTATGCTGGTGTTCGGAATTGCATCCTCAGTTGCAGATATGGAGGAAGATGAATCTCTTACCATTCAACAAACAAGGATAGAAAATCCGTCTTCGGGTGAAGATTCCATACCTAGGGCTATGGGACGAAACAAGGAACGGAGGTTGAACAAATGGTAATTGCAAAACAGAAAAAGTTAAAGTACCATTGTGTAAATTTGAAATATTTGCAAAAGCTTGATGTACACTTGTAGGAATAGGAAAGGGGACGTTTCAAATATTTGCGGGGACCGTGTGAGAAGGAGGCTCAAATAGCGAGCGAGAGAAGCTCTCAGAAAAAGAGGCGGTCGTTGCGAACTGGCGATAGATTGCAAGACCCGCCCAAGTACCAACCAACTCGGAGGCTCAAATATTTTCTCTCATTTGGTGAAAGGAAGAAGAAGGGTGGTGGTGATTATTTCTGATGAAACCCCATAAAACCTAAAAATCTCGATAATGTTTCAGCTCTGCAATTGCAATTGCACCCTCTCCTCTCTCCTCCCCATCGTCCTTCCCCTTCTTCCTCTCACCTGAACCCCCTCTTTCTCTCTCTATCTCTCTCTTTCTCCTCCCTGGTATGCATCTTACTCTATCTCCGATCTTACTTTTCTGTTTCTGCATCTAGTTTTCATTTCATGTTTTTTATGTGTATTTTTGTTTGTGTTTGGCGGCTGAGGCGGCTGAGAATCGGCGTCTCCCCAAAACCTGGAGGATTTTCTGATTTTTTTTTTCTCGGCAACCAAACATAGCGTTAGGATTCTTCCAGATTCGATTTATTTGCTTATTTATTTATTTATGATTATTCTGTTTATTGTTCTTGAAATCGGAATTTGTGCGGCTTAGGTTTTTATTAGCTTGAAGAAAATGAATCGGATTATAAATGTTTAATTTTAGGATTATAACTGCACAGCTAGGGTTTTATTTATTTTTTGTTGATTTGGATTTTTTTGATGATGATGAATTGATGATGCAGAGCCATGCCGACTTTCACTGTCATAGCTTTAGATAGGTTTAGAACCTGGAGCTTCTTCCAAATCTGCTGACATGTCATCTCTTCCAAATTCCAATTCGAAGCCTTTTTCGAGTTCAATGCCGGTTCCTGACTCCAAGCTGGAGAGGAGGAACAGCACCTCCGTTGTGGAGAAGAGGCCTCATCGACCTCAGATTAGGCCGGCCCTCTATGCTACTCCGGAGGCCACACCGCTCCCGGATTTGCCCACTTCATTTCCTCCCTCGCCTTACATCATCAACCACAAGCGCCGTGGTCCAAGGCTTATGAAGAGTTACTCGGAGCAGGATGTGTCCTTGCACCAAAAAGCTGGAGGTGGAGAGAAGCTCAATGGGGATGTCAACCGTGTGGAGGCCAAGGCGGTGAAGCTCAATGGGAATGTCAGCAACGCAGAGGCAAAGGTGGCAAATTCACCTGTTGATGATTTGAATACTTTTACTTTTTCGAAGCCTGTTGAAGTGCGTCATTCGAACGGTGTCCATCATTTCGTGAGCAGTAATGGGCAACTTAGAGGCAGTAATGTGGAACTAGGTAGTAGTAGCGAGCATGAAGATAACTTCTATGCGTCCAACAAGAGAAGCAGTGATGTGGAACTGAGTAATGGTTCTGCTAGGGAAGATGATTTGTTGAAGCAAGTTGCCATGAGTCCAGAGAGAGATAGTGAACGTGAAGATTTCGTTGATCCGAAAGACTCCATGAGTGTCGCAAGTTACAACACTGATGGAGAGGGAAATTTTGGGGCAGAGCGTTCTGCACAGACCAGTACACCCATGGGGGAATTTTATGATGCTTGGGATGGTATGTAGCTTTGCTTTTTTGGTTAATTTTATTTCCTTTCATTTGATTATTAATTTTTCTTGAATGTGCTTTGTCCATATATCCGTGAATTAATTGAGCATCATGATTGAAGATTGGATATGCTGATTTTGCCATAGTTTGGTATCTTTACATAGAATATGATGTATATTTATTTTCCCCCCTCTATATTTGTAGGGATGTGCAATTTGGCGGGTCATACTCGTATATTTTCATCTCTTATGTAAATCTAGATTTGTGTTGAGCATGTCATCTTTTACTCTACCTTTTTAATTAATCACGTTAGATACATTGACCCATTCGTTAACTCTGTCGTGTTTTTGTTGACATGCATATCTCATGAATTAGAAACTCAAGAACAGGATTTTCATTTTGAACCAAACTCATTTCTTATATCTTCATAAAGTAAAAACCACCTGATCCAAGTACTAGCGAGAACTAATCTAGTGTGTTTGATATTCTTGTTAATAATTTGTATTATATTTGGATTCATATCAATTAATAGTTTACTCTAACTCGTCCTACCATACATAATAGTTAATCCTAGCTTGTTATTTCGTATTGGGTTCAAGTTGTGTTACTGTTTCTTGTTTTCTGGAAAGTTAATCCTTTCCAGTTTATTTTCATAAAGGGTTTGTGTTGTGTCATACTGTTGCTGAAAATTGACATCTATGTCTATATGACATATAAATGGTTCATTATTCATGAGATTACTAATAAATTGCTAATTATGATTAAAGGCATTCACATGCTGGTTCTCTAGAGATACCTGACTATGTGAATTTTGAAATTGCATAGGAGGAGAGATTAAATTATGACATTCTATGCATGTCTTGTGTGTGTGTTTGAGAGCTTTTTGTTTAGGTTATGAATTAAGGGTGCGTTTGGTACGTGGGATGGGACGGAACAGAGTGGGACGGAACCGTTCCGTCCCACGTTTGGTGCCTTAAAATTGTGTGGAACGCGCGTCCCACGGAACGAAAAAGGGTCAGATTTTGGTTCCCCCTCCCCCCCCCGGAACAGGTTTTTCCATCCCGTGGGACACAAATTTTTTTTTTTTTGGACAACAATACCCCTTTTATTTTTCATTAATTACATTGTCTACCTCCCTTCTCTCCCGTAACCTCCCTCTGTTCTACCACAAACCCAGTAACCCAATCCCTTCTTTCCCGTAACCTCCCTCTTCATCCACCACAAACCCAGTAACCCAATCCCAGCAAACCCATCCGACGACGACGACGTCACCACCGTCACCAGCAAACCCCTCTTCTTCTCCGGCGTCGTCACCACCGTCACCAGCAAACCCTCTTCTTCTCCGGCACCGTCACCATAGAGCCGTCACCAGCAACCCCTCTTCTTCTCCGGCGCCGTCACCATAGCCAGGCCGACGACGACGACGACGCTGCACGGAGGATGATGACGACGCTGCAGGGAAGACGACGACGACGCTGCACGGAGGATGATGATGACGACGCTGCAGGGAAGAGGATGACGACGCTGCAGGGAAGACGATGACGACGCTGCAGGCCGACGACGACGACGACGCTGCACGGAGGATGATGACGACGCTGCAGGGAAGACGATGACGACGCTGCAAGGAAGACGATGACGACGCTGCAGGGAGGACGATGACGAAGCTGCAGAAATTGATTGAAATGAATTTTGGGATTTTTCTGTGTTTGATTTTGGGATTTTTCTGTTTTTTTTCTTCTTGTAATTGTTTGCTGGTGACGAGATCTGAAATTGATTGGAGGGTTTGCTGGTGACGAGATCTGAAACTGGATTGGTTGCCGAGAAAACGAAGGAAAACGAAAACTGGGGTCTGATTGTTTGAGTTCATACTCGCACTCAGCAATTGTACAAACAAGGCTAAGTTAGTCATTTAACACGAAATCCAAACCGTTCCGTCCTACGCGTACCAAACATAACACGAACCTCCGTTTCGTTCCGTCCCGTTCCGTCCCGTCCCGTCCCGTCCCGTCCCGTCTGCGTACCAAACGCACCCTAAAAGAACACTTCGTTTCTCCTGTTCAGAAGTTCAGTTTTAAATTACAAAAGGGTTTCCAAGTTTTGTATGCTTAATCTTTTAATGTTCTGTAATCCACCTTGTTCTACTATGCACTACAATAATAAAGTTTTGGCATTAATGGACAACTTACTTTTATTGTTACCTTGTGTAGAACTTTCATCTGAGAGCGGGCAAGGGCAGCAGCTTTCTGTTTCTGACGTTGAAGTTGAATTGCGTGAAATGAGATTGAGCCTCATAATGGAGATAGAGAAGCGGAAGCAAGTAGAAGAATCCTTGAATAACATGCGAAGGCAGTGGCAGAGGATTAGGGAACAATTATCTCTTGTAGGATTCACACTCCCTGAAGATCCCACTGTTGCAAGTGGTCACGAGCTACTAGGTTCTGATCCTGCAGAAGATCTGTACCAACAAGTTTATCTTGCTAGGTTTGTATCAAATACCATTGGGAGGGGATTGATAAGGGCTGAGATGGAGATGGAGATGGAAGCTCAGGTCGAGTCAAAGAACTTTGAGATTGCTCGGTTGATGGACAAACTTCGTAACTATGAGGCTATGAATCAGGAAATGGTTCAGAGGAATCAGGATGTTCTCGGTGAGATTTCTATACCTTATGCCACTTGTTTATTTCCTGATTTCTGAGGCTTTAGTTAGTTATTCTATTGTTTATTAAATCAGATCATTTCGGATGCCTACCTCAGTCGAACTTTGTCCTCTTCCCTGTGTTTAACCCGGAACCCTCTATTAGGTGGAAAATATTGTTTTATTAGTTTGTGGGATGCATTTAAAAATAATACAGGAGCCCAGTCCTTGACGGGAGTGTAACTGGAAATATTCTATATGGAAGTAAATGTTAACTGTTCTCTCTGTGCCCAAATATTGACTAAAATGCATCTGTGCACCTTCCTAATGTGCATAATTTAGTCCTTGGATCTACCTCACATAATTAGCTCACCTAAGTTTCTCTGGTTTTTTTTTCTTCTCATGTAGAGATGGCACGGCGTGACAGGGAGAGAAGGGAAAGAAGACAGAGATGGGTATGGGGCTCAATCGCTACTGCCCTTACTCTTGGCACTGCAGCCTTGGCATACTCATATATCCCGTCTAGCAGGGGATCGCCAAGCTTTGATTCTGAGGTTCCTGAAAGGAGTGATGCAGGCAAATGATAACAACTTTACGTAGCAACCGTGACCCTATGCCATAAAACAGGAGGAGAAAGTAAAAGGTCTTTTAATATGCCACACCCTTTGTGGATTAACATTCTCTCGCTCTTTTACAAGTCAGATTTTCCTTTGATCTGAGGATGTACGTTTCTACAGCAAATAGTTCAAGTTTTGGACCTTACTGGCATATTGGAAGGTTTATAGATCACAATTAGGAAGTCATAAAGTTTGAAGCTTTGGGTTGTCTCAAAGCAATTATACACAATTTGTTTGCCCGATAAGTATTCAGTTTTGGAAATAGTGCTTGTTCACGGTGCTACACAACCCTTGGAATTTTTGGTCGAAGGCTATTTGACCTGCAGTTTGATTTGCCCGTATTCCATGTTTTTGCAATTTCAGTTTGAACCGAATTGGGTTTTCGCAGTTTGATTCAGCAATTTTCTGCCCTATTACCGTGGAGGGAATCATGCAACCGACTTATCCGAATTAGTTTCTCGCTGACCAGTTACCCTTTTGAAGGGAATCATGCTTGGGCTTAGGGCTGGTTTGGTATTGCTGTGCTTTGAAAAAAAGCTGCTGTGAAAATAAGCGGCTGTAAAATAAATCAGCAGAGTGTTTAGTAAACTTTTTTGTAAAAGTGCTTTTGGAAAAAAAAGCAGTCAAATAGTGGGTCTTTTCATTAAAGAAGCCCTGTAGCTCCGTGTGCTTTGAAAAAAAGCCATTTTTCCAAAGCTGCAAATAGCAGCTTCAGCTTTTTCCTTTGATTTCAGCTTATTCTCACAGCAGCTTCCAAAATAAGCCATTTTTTTTCAGTTTACCAAACACCTAAAACCCTCACAGCTTTTTTTCATGGGTGCTTTTTTTTTAAGCACCTCACTCCCAAACTAGGTCTTAATCTTAACGACCTGATTAATTCGGCTTTTCGTTCACCCAAATGGAAAGTTGTAGGTTGTTTATATGTTTTTAGTTCGTAAACCAAATATTCTTACATTTCGAGAGTTATCATTATTTTGTCAAAGGGAAAAGAAAAAAATTGAAATGGGTAATTTTGCTCATCATTATCAAGTGGTAGTAATGTTTAACGTTTTATTTATTCTGTTGCGTTGAATGAATTTAAATTATGAAATTTATGTCCATTTATTATATACAAATCTCGAAAGTTAAATTTATCTAATAACGAAAGGTAATTTGAATACAATAATAACGTGAATATAGGTTCCAGAGAAAACGGTAGAAAAAAATGGGAAAAAAAAACGGCGTCGTTCCAGAGGTTTATCCACAGGTAAGATATGACAGAGTGGGAAGAGAATTATCAGAAACTCCGGAGCTCCGACAATGGAGCTAGTTCTGCACATGTCCGCAATTCCTCCCAGAGAAAACCCCCTCACCCACTACCGCCACTCCAAATTCCTCGCAACCCAAGACCACCACACCTCTCTCTTCGCCCATTTCTCTATAAACCCACAATTCCAGTCAAAATATCGAAGAAATTGGACCCCAAAACTTGCGTATGCAGCCACAAATCAACGGTTCGGGATCACCGAACAAGAACAAGCCCATGAAGAAGAAGAAGATGCAGAGGAGGAGGAAGAAGAAGAGTACGATTTCTCGGAGGACGAGTCGTCGTTGCTGTCTCTGAGTGAGAAGCCAGACAGAAACATGGCTTTGCTGGATGAGTACGAGATGGAGGAGCTCGAAGATGCCGCTGACCCGAATCATCGGAGCGGTAAGAAAATGATAAAATATCTTCTGGGTTTTGATTAATTTTAGCAGAGGAATTTTGGGTTTTATTTAAGAGTTGGCATTGTGGATTTGATTGAGTGAAAGATGCAGGGTACGTGGCTGTGCTGGGGAAGCCGAATGTGGGAAAGAGTACGCTCTCGAATCAAATGGTTGGTCAGAAGTTGTCCATTGTTACTGATAAACCTCAGACTACCCGGCATCGAATTCTCGGTATATGTTCTGGCACAGACTATCAGGTAGCTGATATTATTGTTGGTTTTGTTTCAGTTGTTTATATGTATTTGTATTAAAGTCTCATTGAAAGCTGTGAGAAATGTTGTGGTTCATATGTTGTTATAAACTATAACCACGGTGTAGTTTGGTTACTTGTCATATAAGGAAACATAATGGAAATGGTAAATGCGGTTAAGTTTCTGAGGGTTTGAGGTGTACCCATTTGATGGTTCCCCGAGCAGTGATTCAGGATTCATATTTTTAGGTTCAAGATTTAATTTTGTAGTGTCTTATAAATAAGAGCCGACTAGTATCTTGGTTTGGACAGAAATAATACTCTATTGATGGTTTCGGAAGTTTTGGTAAAGCATATGGCTCTGACATTGATTTGTTTGCAGATGATACTTTATGACACACCGGGTGTTATGGAGAAGAGAATGCACAAGTTGGATTCGATGATGATGAAGAATGTTCGCAGTGCTGCGGTTAATGCGGATTGTGTAGTTGTTCTTGTTGATGCATGTAAAGTGCCTGAAAAAGTATGCTTCTTCATTTGTAGGATTACCTATGAAACTTTACCATCTTGTCCTTAGATCGTTTTCTCATTTCTAGATTGATGAAGTGCTGGAAGAAGGCATGGGTAACCAGACGGAAAGCTTGCCACCCATTTTGTTGGTTATGAATAAGAAGGATTTGATTAAACCTGGTGAAATTGCAAAGAAACTAGAGGTCAGTATTTGTTTACGTGTATAACTACACACGTAATTCTGGATCTTGTTGTTTAAGCTTCCTGTTGAGCCTAAATAAGAATTACATCTTTTACAGTGGTATGAGAAATTTACAAACGTTGATGAGGTCATACCCGTGAGTGCCAAACTTGGACAGGGAGTGGAAGACGTCAAGCAATGGATTTTATCAAAACTTCCTTTTGGGCCAGCATATTATCCGAAGGTACTTGGAATTTCATGTTATAGACTCATGGTTGCCTTTCCTTTCTTTTGAAACTGAATTTCTTAATGGTGTTCCTATTTTATGGTTGCGAATGTTCTATTCTTGCCTTATCCCAACCATCATGAGTTGTGTCGAAATTGCAAAATGGTTATGAATGTCATAAGACTATCTATACAATCAGACCTCCATTCTAAGGGAACATAGAATTAATAAAAGAAAATAGCTTCAGTTGTAGGTTTTCTGGCATTAGTTTCACAATGCTTTCCATCCCAAAGAAGAAAACTATATCAGTGTAGAACTTTTGAAAGTTAGTTCTTTTTAAGCAGGAGTAAAAATCCATCTTCCGTATGCTTATTCAAAGTGTATATTTAGATGTCAAGAATATCCACAAGTGCTATTTTCATTATGGAAATACTTATCTTTATTCCCTATGAGTCCTCAGGACATTGTCAGTGAGCACCCAGAAAGATTCTTTGTATCCGAAATTGTTCGAGAAAAGATCTTTATGCAGTACCGCAAAGAGATTCCTTATTCATGTCAGGTATGTAGTATAGAAGCTCAAAAGGTTTGGCTTGTGAAGAATGGTATCCTATCCCTAGAAAGAAACAGAATAAAATGATAATATTTATAGTTTCTTTTCTCCAGGTGAATGTCGTGAGCTACAAAACTAGGCCAATGGCGAAGGATTTTATACAAGTGGAAATTGTCGTTGAAAAAAACTCACAGAAGATCATTGTTATTGGAAAAGTAAGTAATCTTCAGTTGCAATACCGTGGCTTTTTTTAGCAATTATGAAATAATAAGCTGGAAGATGAAATTTTCAAGTGCAAATGCTTGCAAAAGGACGTGTAAATTATATTCAAATTAATTTATCATTTATTTTCTTGATCAAAGATTTAATATGGGTTGTAAAGGTATGTATCACACAAAGCCACAGAGCTTTCATGTGCCATCACTGTAGGAAGAGATAGCTTGTCTGCTGATTTTGTGTCCTGAATAATTTCATAGGAAGGGAGAGCTCTGAAACTACTTGCAACAGCTGCGCGGCTTGACATAGAAAATTTCTTGCAGAAGAAAGTCTTCCTAGAGGTGCCAAGTTACACCATGAACAATCTTTGTGCACAAACTATGTTAACTTTATCCTTTAATTGGCCATTGTCCTGTGCTTAATGCATTCAATCACTGTGGGCAGTTTAGCTGCTGCATTATCTCCTCACTTTTACTTCATTCGTCATGTCATATATAGAAAATATGCGCCTTACAGGACTATTATTCATGCTTTAAACAGGTTGTAGTGAAGGTTAAAGAGAATTGGCGGCAAGACGAAGTGCTTTTGAAGAATTATGGCTATGGGGGTCAAATTCAAACATTATAATGTCAGGGCCAATCCGTATCCATTGGAGTACACAAGTGACGATGGCCGTATCATTTTGCCACAAAATTGTATGTTATCTCTGAGATGGTTTTGATGTCGTTGATTAACGTAGATGCCTCCCGTTTCCTTTTGTTTTCTGGAGTAGGGTATATTGTAATCTCATTGGGAAGATAGTCGCAAGCATTCCTGTAAGGCTGTAAAGCAATGGCATTTTCCCAGAGCCAAAGATTTTGTTACTTGTAGAACCCCCTTCAGTCTCTCTCTCTCTCTCTCTCTCTCTCTCTCTCCCTCTCCCTATTTCTCTCACACACACACAAGTGGGCTCAGTAAGCCCTCTAATCTTGTTTATCCCAGGCTTTGTAGAGATGCATGTCACTGTTCAAACATATGCACAATGGCCCAGAACGAAGGTGGCATATATTCCGTATGCAGTTAGTGTGCCATTTTGACATTCTGATTTAATAATATAAAGGCAAGTATTAAACCCTACACTCCCACGATGACACTAGCGTTGCAATGGCATCCCAGAAGTGTAGGTCAGTTTCCCATAACGTGGGATGTTTGAGGCAGTTGAACGGTGGGAGGCATCATCACTTTAAGTGATGGTCAGACATGACTTTGACTTGCCACGTGTCACCATCATGTCAAGACCCGCAAATGGCGCCAATTTAATGTAGGCCAAAGCCAAAGAGTCAAATTTTGACAGAAATAAAAGAAGCCAAATAGTCGAACAGATATAAATGTTGTGCGAAAAACCTTCCTAGAAAATGATAATGCGTTTGGTGGCCCTGGTGGGTAGATAAGGAAACATAAAAAGTTAAAACTTTGAAACAAATTAAAGTAAAAAAATATGCCCGAATGGGTGTTGGTTTCAAATTTTCATAAACAACGAAAATGAGAAGACATTGAATCGATAGTAAGTCATATATAAATCAAGAATTGGTGCTTTTTGTTGTCTGTTTAGTAAGTTGTATACAAACCACGAATTGATCCCCAAATGTAGTAGACAAAAAGAATGGAACTTTTCAGCAATACTGTACTTGTTTCTTGTATTGTAACTCGTAACCGTACTAGTATTACTGGTGTTTCTGAGACCATTCTAGTTTGAGGATTACTAAATCTTATACTCGAATACAGGAACGAAAATGCAACTCGTGGTATCGTCCAGGAGTCATAGTTACAATTAAGCCTTGCCTTTAATATTAATTTGAAAACGTTTTCAAACTTAGTCTTTCAATGAACTCCACATGTTTGCCATTGAAGTTTCCATGGACATAAATCTAGCAAATAAATTTGGAACCATAATATTTTCTGCATTGTTGGAACAGCAACAGGTAGCTGAGTGTTTGATTACGGGACTACAATTTATTTGGCGTCTACCTACAAATGTTGCATTAAAGCTCAGCAAAGAGGACAAGGCCTCTTCTTAGAGTAAGTTTGGGTGAAGAAAATGAGAACTTTAACGAAAAGCTCCCGGTATTGTTTACTTTAACGAAAATTACATTTTTACATTAAAAAGTCAATTCTGGTACTATTCACTTTACCCTTTATTTTGTCCTTATCGTTAAAACTCAAAATTTTCAAGCCATTTTCATTAGTTTTCCTGAAGAAAATTTACCATGAGGATACAATTGTACAAGGAAGACGAAATGGTTCATTTTCGGCTCTGGTTTTGAGAGATTCTTGATTAGGGTCTTTTGTGTTACGTCATTGGTCTGCTCAAAATACACATAAAAAGGTTGTAAGATGGACGACCGCTAGGTGGGTAGGGTTGGGTGGATGGTTTGCTGCCAATCTTCCTAAACGCGCATGGGCGAAGCTTAGAGCGTTTGAAATTGATCACTACCTCGTATAGCATGTTACACGAACGCCCGTTTTTTCTGGTCCTTGCACTTGGGATTCCCTTGTGTGTGTCTAGGGCGGAGAGATGACGTGGCATGGAATAAAACCTAAATATAGGGAATCCCCCCTCGTGTCGTGTGTGTCTTGGCGAACGAATGAAGTGGCACCAAATAAACCTTAATGCAAGGATTTTCTGTGTATGTGAACAATTTACAAGATACGGGTACACACATCATGTGGCGTTCCATGCCTATAACACAATGACATAAGGACAAAACTTTACACATATCTTATTTCATTGACACAAGATGCAAACGTAATGGTGTACCCATGTTAAATCATTCTCCTTGCGTATGTCTTAAAAATAGGTGACTTGTCACATATGCCCCTACCCAATTCGGCGGTTCCTCTGCTCTGCTGCATGGGTGACTAGTTTCCTTCTTCTCTATTTATTTGCACATTTGCAATTGTAAAACAAGACAACCAAATTCACCTCCAAGCTTTTTATCCAACTGCAATAACATTACATCTACATTTTAGAGAAGATGAAGCATCCTTCTATTGCTCTTCTTTTAGCAATTATAATACACCAACAATGTTTTATTAGTCCCATCCATGTTTCAGCAGCAGGTGATGATTTCATCAGAGTAAGGGGAGTGCATTTTCTTCTTAACGGCAACCCTTACTATGCAAACGGCTTCAATGGCTACTGGCTCATGTATGTGGCTTCTGACCCATCTCGGAGGCACAAAGTCTCGTCTGCTTTCCGCGAAGCAACTAGACGGACTCACCGTGGCTAGAACTTGGGCTTTCAGTGATGGAGGTTACATGCCTCTTCAGTTCTCCCCTGGCTCCTACAACGAGCACATGTTTAAGGTTCCTCCTCTCATACTTGGTCTGCTTTACTCTTTGTTTTTCCTATCTGTTGCTCTCGGCGCCCTATGATTGGATTGGATAACTCACTGAACTAGGCCTCGTTTGGTCTTTACAATTGGATTGGAATGGATAACACACTATATTGAAGTATGCATACAGTGAGTTACCTATTCCAGTTCACTCGTAGTTACCAAACAAGGCCTCAAGGTATGCTGAAGTAAGAAATGAAGGCCAACTATTAAAGTTTGTCCTAAATGAAGGAATTAGATGGATTAGTTTATAACTAGAAGGTGTTGATCCTACCATTTTGTGTGGATTGAATGAGCTGAGTTTCATTCACGAGTGATCCATCTAACCCTAGGCATTTTCTTCCTTCAACGTACTTTTAATTTGTTGAGTACGACCTATCTAATCCAATCTTAGGCAGCACCGGCGCCAAAGATTTTTGAAGTTTGCACTAATGGTGATTTTAGTAATTTGGTTTGAAGGGGTTGGATTTTGTGATAGCTGAGGCCAGAAGGTATGAGATTAATGATATTAAGCTTGGTGAACAACTATGAGAACTTTGGAGGAAGAAAGCAGTATGTGAATTGGGCAAGAAGGAAAGGGCAGTACCTCACATCTGATGATGATTTCTTCAGGAACCCTGTTGTGAAGGGTTACTACAAGAACCATGTAACTGTAAGTGAAAGCAATCAGTGTTCGTATAGTCTCTAGGATTAGATTGGATAACTCATAAAATCCAACTTATGTTGAAGATACTAGTTACTCAACAAACCTTGGGTATAAATATATTATCCAATCCAAATCCGATCCTAAGAACCAAACGAGCCTTGAGAGTATGCGAAGAGCCTTTTCTGTTTATGAATATGCATGATCTTCATTTCTAATTCTGATCAATATTTTTTTCAGACTGTTGTTAACAGATATAACAGCTACATTGGAGTTCATTACAAAGATGACCCAACAATTATGGCATGGGAACTTATTAATGAGCCTAGATGCTCATCAGATCCTTCAGGAAGGACTATTCAGGTTAAAAAAAACATGGCTATCAAATTTCCTCTTTCTTAAACCAAGTTTCTAGGAAAAGCAAAAATATAAACTAATCATAGCTCTTATAGAGGATAAGGCTGTCTGACTAGGATAACTTTCACATTGGGTGGGACGAATGTGGAGTTAAGTGAGACTAAAATACAAGGGATCCCATGCTTTTGAGAGAGCTGCCTTATAAATGACGTGATGGGGTTGCCCTTACATAAGTTTTTCTCCTCGAGAATTAGAATAAATGCTTTTGAGAGAGCTACCACTTTTATGTGTTGTGCATTTCTAATTTAAGATGGATTTTTTCATTTCATGTCAGATTTCTACAATTGGTGTTACTAACAGGCTTGGATAAAGGAAATGGCTTCACATGTGAAGTCAATAGATAGAAACCACTTATTGGAAGTTGGTCTAGAGGGATTTTATGGACAAGAAATACCTCAGAGGATGAGTCTCAATCCTGGTTATAATATTGGAACAGAATTTATCGCGAATAATAGGATTCCTGGGATCGATTTCACAACAATTCATTCTTATCCTGATCAATGGTAAACATTCCTTAACTTGCAGGATCATGTCAACTTTCTTAGCGGTGTACTTATGCCGGTTTTTGCTTGAGCAGGTTGGGTAGCTCTAATGATCAACATCAGGTCGTTTTCTCGAACAACTGGCTCAACACCCACATCCAAGTTGCACAGAACATTCTTCAAAAGCCGATATACATTGCAGAGTTTGGGAAGTCTTGGAAAGATCTCGGTTTCAGAACTTACCAAAGAGACTTGCTCTTCAATACCGTGTACTCCAAGATATACTTTTTGGCGAAAAGAGGAGGAGCAGCTGCTGGGGGACTATTCTGGCAACTTCTCACTGAAGGCATGGACTCTTTCCGTGATGGATACGACATAGTTCTGAGTCAGAGTCCCTCAACAGCAAATGTGATTGCTCAACAGTCTCACAAGCTCAATCAGATTCGGAAGATCTTTTGCGCGGATAAGAAATGCTCGGATGTGGAAGAGGGCAAGGGCCATTAGAAGGGATGAAAGGTTGGGTGGAAACTGGTAGTTTTATTTATTTAGATTATAAAGAAACATAATCCACCAAATAGGAGATGGATTATGAACATCTTTAATTATTTGTTATAATTAAAATACAAGGAATATGCTTGGTATTATGGGCTTGCCTTAGCCTCCAAGCCTTCACCCTAAACCCTAGCTAGACCACTATAATAGAGGTCTTAAGGAATTTCCTCCTCACTCACAAAACTCTCCCAAACACTCGGTTCACCAAGATGGAGGGGGAGACTTAAGAGGAAACTCTTAGAAGCAATTCCAAGTAGCCAACTCACCGCCTTATGTCTCAAACTTGTACACGAAAGCCCCAATTCATGTGTGTTTTCGTGGTTCCTCGCTCGAGACGGTTGTAAGAACAAGACGGTTGTTTGACTTAAGGTTTTTCTGCTAAGTATAATCCCTAAATCTTGAGTACTTATATATGTTGCATATTCATATGTTTCTAATAGTGGTATTAGAGCTAATAGCTCTTGTTTTTCGCCATTCAATTGATATATGAGCTGAGAACTTTCATCAATAATGGATGTGGCTCGAAACTACATAAGCCATAACATACATAAAAATGTATTGTGCAAGAATCCACAATTCCCTTTTTATTATTTATTTACGTTACTAAAACAAAGACACTATAGTAGTTGCCGCAACTATAGTAGTTGTCGCGTCATGTGGAGACTCACGAGCACCACCTTTTCTTTTATGATTTCACTTCAAATACGAGTTGATCTCCAAGTTGGATGTGAGACACAGGCAAAGAAAATTAAGATGCTATGGAGTTTGATCGAGTTCTTAGAAACTTCTCAGTTTGTCCTAGTGGGACTTATATATAGAAGTTCTTGGATGTCACCATATGAGCCACTCCTGAACTCAAGGTCATCTTGGAAGAGAAAGAAATGCCTTAAGACTAGGATATGCATTTCAAGTAAAGTGAGAGAAACAATAAATTTTTTCTATATTATCTCATGACAATTGACAATAATAGTATGGAGCGCTATGTCATATGATATGCGACTATAAATTTTTGTCTTATGCAAGTTGAAAAGAATTCTATGATGCACTTGATATTGATATGAGCGATCATAAATTAACTTAGACTTAATTGTGTTCGTTAAGCGAAATTTTGAAAATACTTGTGTGATTAAATGAAGAGAGTTCTTTAATATCACGGTGGAACCATTGTCCTCTCTATTGGCCACCTTGATGTGGACTAGAGACATCCCTTAAGGATGAGCAATGAAAAGAGAAAGAAAGGCAACATAATATGAGGTGATGCACCTAGATGTTCTCTCAAAGGATGAGAAACAAACTTATATTGCCTAAACCACTATATATAGAGTTCAAGTTAGCCAAAAACCTTGAGGGTAGGGTACGTAGGGGGCGTAGCTTGAAGTTTGAAGACGAAGTTTGAAGGATCTTGCAAAGACTAGATAGCCTAGAGATGAGAAGCTATACTAGAATGCAGAAATGGAACTGCTTTAGTCCACGCCTAAAATTGCTCTAACCGGAAATAATGTTTCAATTAGAAGTGCACAAAGAAGATGCAGTCCAGAGACGCATCTTAAGCAACTAGCATGGTTAAAACCATGACTAGAGTTGCTTTTTGACATTATGATTGATGTTTAGTGCCTCATTTCATACATGGAATTGAAATGATGCAAACACATCTTTATTATGTCACCGGACTTTGAATGGTTCACTCACACGAATGCTTCACCTTGGCATATTGAGATAACGAGCAAGTTGAAACATTCATGTCCTAGACAAATATAGTGCATCCGAATATGTCCTGGGCGCAGAGGATGCATCCCGACGAGTGCATTACTTAATTGGTACAACAAAAAATGCACGTATATTATTTGATATGTCACCTTAGAGAGTGAACTAAGGCCATCTCCAACCGACCCTGTCAAATAGCTAAAGGAATAGCTCGGAATGACACGAAAACTGTCTCCAACCAAGGGCTAGGCTAAAAGGGTTGTGGACCCCACCAGGCCAAAACCTCAAAATTAGGCCAGCTGGTTGGCCATTTCCAGCCAGCTAGCCAACCAACCAGCCAGCCCTCCAGCTCGGCCCACTTGGCGTCAAAATGTCAAGCATGACTTTGTGGCAGGTGCAAGAATACCACGCTTTCTTCATTATCGTGCTTTCTTTATGTCAAAGGGTGTTTCAATGGACAAATTTCTAACTCAAGCCGAACTGCAATGGTAGATTAAAACAAGAGAGATGAAGGAGAAAGAGAAGTAATCTGGAGAGTTACTCACTTTAGCGACACGTGTCACTCGAAATCCTATTCGAAAAATTATTGAGATTATATAAAAATAAGAAATCATGAGGCTTATTCATTTTGAGACAAGTGACACTCAAAATATGTCCGAAAATCTTATTTTAATATGGTAGTTAACCATATTAATTCAATTAAAATAATAAATTATTGAGGGTTTATGTTTGGCCTATGGCTCTTTGGCCCTCTCGGTTGGAGATGAGTTTTTTGTCAAAGAGCTATGTTTGGCCTATGGCCCCCTTGGTTGGAGATGATATAAAATATGGCCTAACATGACCATTTGACCCTTATTCGGTTAGAGATGGACTAAGATGAGACCTTATGATGGAGAAGGTTGATCTTGGCATAATTCATGTATATATTTCCATGACTCCAAGTAGCCTGGTTATAGCTGAATGTGAATTGACTAATATAGGAGCCTGGATGGCATCTATGCCAAGAAATTCAGGTCAGGTGCTAGCATAGCAACTGCGCTGAGATTCGTATGACGCACCAAATATATGTTTCAGACAAATTGATATGCTCGTATTTGAAATATGAGATTACGTCATAACATACATGTTTGAGACTAGAGTCAGACAACTATATGTGCTTAAGTTGACCAAAAAATAGTTAGAGTAATGAATAAATTCCTTCTTCATTACTGTGTGAGCCACTAGATTTTTGAATCCAACAACTTGTACCCTTTGGACTAAAGACTATGTCAGAAAGAGGATACTTGCCGACTATTGTTTTTGCATACTTACTTGAAGATGCTCATCAATCATTACTGTCTAAGGGGTGTGTCTGGGAAAGCGGTCAAGTCTACTTGAACTAACATGAGTGCTTAGGAAAGACTGTTTGTTATTACACCACTTTAATAATGTAACTCATTAGCTAGCCAACATTTGCGTAAAAGGCAAGAACATGATTACATTTAATGCTTGAGAGAAAATACATTGCTTTTTCACGAGGGATTAAGGAATGTCTTGTTCTGTGTTTTAGAAAAACAATTTAGGGTATAGATGAAACGCTATCGAGAGAACGTTTTCATTTGCTATGCAAATAGTTTAAAGTTTTCTGTTCCTATGCTATACATATTTTCGTAGGGTCGCTAATCCATTCTTTGTGAACGTCAGAATGTTGGGAACTTGGGATGATGACAAGTGAATGTGAACGTGAGGACACCACTCCTATTTGGGTGAGTGGGAGATGTTAGTTTTATTTATTTAGATTATAAGTAAACATAATCCACCCAACAGGAAATGGATTATGATAACATCTTTACTTATTCATTAATAATTTAAAATACAAGGAATGTGCTTCGTATTATGGGACGTCAAGGCATCCCGCACGCAAGCCACATCCGAAATTCCTAAGGAAATTTACCACGGTGGAAGTGGAGGCTCAGATCAAGAGGAAACTCATAGAAGCAATCCTAAGTAGCCTCTCACCACCCTGCGTCCCAAACCATTACACGAAAGCCCCAATTCATCATGTGTTTGTGGATCCTAGCTCGAGTACGTATATAAATATATACTCTTTAAAAAGGCAAGCCTATAGGAGATTGATCAAATGCATTACCCTTGTGAGGTTTGCCGTTAGGGTTTCTCTGTTAGAGATGATTCAGATGAACTTTTTTCCTCCAGGAAGGAAACTTGTGTTACACGTATAGTTTGAACTTTTCTTTGCCCTACATGTCCGAACGTCTCGTACTTATGTTGTCAAGTGTGAAGTGGGTTTTCCAGGAAGTTTTCTGGTTTGTAGAAAACCAGACAGCTTCAAAGTCATACATGTTATTTCATTCTGTCAAGCTTGTAATGCTGCTGCAAAATGAAAACCCTAATTTTGTTCTTGTGTTGCTCTTTGTGGGACGAAATCTCGAGGCTACAATGGTTGGAGATCGATGTGGCATAGAATTTTGTAAGCCTGTTAAATCTCAAGGCATGTAGCATATCGCTTCAACCTTGGAGCTTAATATTCAACTAGAGTGTTTTAGCGTGATTATCACATATTTACGTGAAGTTACTAATCGACTTATATTGTAATAGATGAATTTATTTATTATTACTAATATATCATAAATTGATTTTATATCAATCATGTCGTCTATTTATATTGTAACACATGAACCGTCACACTCAAAAGTTTCTTTATGCTATAACATGAAACTCATGACCTCTTCAAACATGATAAATTTTGGGGTTAATTATGAAACCGTCACGTGGGGGTTTTACAAATCCACTCATGTTATAACAATATAACACGTGTTTTATTTATTGATACAAAACACATTATGCACACTATATTATAATACGTGAACTAATAACATTAAGCGTCTATGTTACGAGTACACTCGGAAAAGTGCACTCAAACAAATTAGTCTCCCTCGGTACCAAACCAGCCGGAGAGTATTTCTAATTGAGATTGAGTTAATCCCATGTCCATTAGACAAAAATAAAGAGAAAAATATTCCGCGTTTCTAACCTGTACGCGCCAAATGTCTCTCATGGTCGCTCAATGACCAGAACATGATTTTATCAATTAGACCTCATATTCGACGAATATTACAGCTTCAGCCTTCGCTCACACAGAATGCAGAAACCTTCTTCTTCCGGATGCAAAACCAGACCATCTACATCAGAAGACCCATTTGGGTAATCATGTAGATATGCTTGAACTCAACGCTCATTTGAAGCAGCTAGTAAAAACCGGTAACGTTGGAGACGCCCGGCTTTTAGAGAGATATGATTTCATGGACCAATATGATTTCAGGCTACGTTGGTCTTATGGGGAAGTAATACATGGGTACTCGATGAAATCGGGTTTAGTATATTCGGTCTTCGTGGGCAATGCGCTTCTTGACATGTATATGAAGATTGGTAAGATTGAGAAAGGATGCAGGATATTTGACGAAATGCCGATAAGAAATGTGGTGTCTTGGACTACTATTATAACTGGGCTTGTTCGTGCAGGTTACAATGTAGAAGGGTTGGAGTATTTTTCTGAAATGTGGAGGTCGAAGGTGCAGTATGATGCATATGTGTTTGCTATCTCGTTGAAGGCGTGTGCTGATTTGGGTGCTTTGAAATATGGGAGAGCAATTCACACGCAAACAATGAAGAATGGGTTCAATGAGAGCTCATTTGTGGCGAACTCTCTGCGACAAAGTGTAACAATGGAATATATTTTTCTTCTTAAGACTAAAAACATCCTTACATCGTGCAATATACATAACTGATAGAGAGAAGTGGCTGGAAACCCTACATTACCAGAATGATCTCAGCCATACATTGAGCTATAGACTAAGATCATTACAC